TTTTTGTTAGTTTTTAACTATTCTAGACAAGTAAATGAATACAGCAAATAAAATATTAATTAGACACAAATCTTAACCTCAAGTTACTCATAATCTAACTAACATACAGAAATTCTATAACCATTCTAATATTAGGTAAAATGTATTAGGTGTTATGAAGAGAGCTATATAAATAAACTACAAGGGAGCGATAAGAAGGATGCAGTTGTCATTGCTAAGGAATCAGAATGAATAACAAGTTAATATTTCAGACTCAAGTCTAGAGTCTTTTTCTGTTATATTTGCTTTGTTTCGATTTCCTTTGAATATATTTCCCTTCTACATGCTGCAGTCCTTCAAAGTATAACTTTCTTTGTGAAATATAGCAATATGAAATTTGGAAAATAATTCATTGAGGAGCATTTCACCAAAGAGCAACAGAAGATTGTACTTATTTAGCGTTTTTTTGTTGATATCTCCACGAAAGAAATTTTCTCTCTGTGTCTTATAGACCTTTGATTCTGAACCCAGCAGTGTGAAGTCGCAGCCCACAGTCAGGAAAGAGAAACCAGCTACTGAGCTGGCAGCCAAACGCTTACTTCTTGATGAGATTATGACTTTGGAGAACGATGTGATTGAGACAAAGACGAAAAGGAGCTTCCCTGGTTTTGGATCTCCTCTGGACAGACTCTCAGCTGGTTCTGTAGATCATAAAGGTAAACAGAGGTAAGTGAGCTCTTGGGGATGATTTTCGTTTTCTAAATGTTCTACTTTCTGTCTAGAAGTGAAGAATTCCATCCAAAAATGTCCAATGAAAGCATTGTAGGTAATGAAACTTGACGGTGTTTTAGATAATTTTCAGTACTTATAATAGGACTTTGGAAACAAATATTTGTGGAATAAAGTCACTGCTACTGTATCGATTGATAGTTTAGTAATAGTGTTTTCTGAGGAACATCGTTTCACATAGATTTAATTATTTCTCATGAAACATTTCAGCATTTGGGAAGTAAGGGGAATTATGTGAGGAATGGGATAAATTATCTAGACAATTGAGTTTCCTGTTGCACAGAGATAACCCGAATGCCATTTTTATTTTTAGCTTCAATTTAAAGCTTTACGAAATATATAAATGTATCTACAAGCAGCAGGGAAGAGCTCTCAGAACCTGGGTAGAGAATCTGTGTGTTTGAGTCAAATTCTGTTGATTTGCAGCCATGCGTCTTGCACAAGTTCTTATTCTCTATGATCCTCAGATTTTTCTAAAGTGGGAAAACAATGACCTCAGTAAAGGTAAATGAGATAATCAACTGCAAGTGTTTTTTAAAGTCTTAATTTTTATAACAGATGTACAGTCATTAAATCTCCCTTTACTCTGAAATAATCAGTTAA